AGGAGGAGAGGGAAGAGGGAGTGAGACAAGAAAGGGGTAAGGGGGAGGGTAAAGGGGGATGAGGAAATGCACACATCATCACACCAACAGGAAGTTGAGGTAGGAGGGTTCAAGGTTATCCTCCACTACATAGTGAGCTGGAAGCTAGTCTGGGTATTAGAGACACCGTCTCAAGTATAAAACAAAACAAACCAAGAAGCATATAGATGTCTATATATAAAGAATTTGTACCTGTATCTATAGAAGCTGGTTTGGGTAGAAAGATGACCAGAAGACACTCATACATGTCATTCTCCTAACGGAGAGTCCTTCACTCCCGAGATCCCAAAGTCTTGGAAGTAAAAGATAGGGTCTGAATTCCAATTGCTAAACTTATGTTGAGCTTGAACTACCTAATCCATCTTGCCTCAGATGAAAACCTTAGCTGGTTTTCTCTGTGGTGCTCACCTCTCACCTTGCTGAGGTAGGAGGGTCCATGGGGGCCAGGAATTTAGGGCCAGCCTAGGGCAACATAGCAATGCTTCTCTGTTAAACAAATGGACCCAATACAACAGACCAGAGGTACTCTGTGAGGCAGATACCAGGCAGGTGGGGTAACTGTGAGAGAGATCTAGAAAACCCAAACTAAGTTCACAGTGAGAATGCCACAACTGGGGACCCCAGCAGACGTCTAAACAATGACAAAGCCTGACTGTCGCTGAAATGGAACAACACTCTCCTGTGTTGCTGACATGAAGTAGCGTTCTCTTGTGTTGCTGTTGGGAACATACACAGTCCTTCCACTTTGGAGAGCCACCTGGAACGGCTCCAGACACTACTCAGGTCACAGGGTCAACAGTTCCATTTCCAGGTGTTAGAAACAGGCACTCAAGCAGAGTAAAAGCTGACAGAAGCAAACTGAGCCCTATTCCTGTAGTGAGAATATTGATTTCTTTAAAAACCCAGTTATGTTACATGGTTTTGTTTTAGTCCCAGATGTGGGATAGGTGCAGCTTCAGATCGTCCACAGTTGCTGGCTATGATTGTCTCGTGCTCTAGGAAGGGTGTGATTCTTGCCAGCTGCAGACAGTTTTTGGACAAGTTTTTCTGCTAAGACTCCCACTTCTTGGAGGCTCCCCAAGGGGACCATGGGTAAGTGAGTCTCTGTAATGGAAGCCAAGCTCCCCTCAGGCAACAGGTAGCCAACAGCTGTGGTTACAGCCTGGATCCACAGCTGGATCAGTGCAGTGGTAGCTGAGAGGAAATGAAGGTAGAGACTTGAAAACCCACAGGCTCAGCACCTATAAATGACAGAGACCAAAAGGGCTGGTTACCAACAGCCCAGAAATTCAGAGTTATCTGCAGGCTACCGACAGATCTGACTGGGATTATTTTTAACTCAAAAGCAAGAGAACTAGTTAGGAAGCTGCTACCTGGCTTCCATCTTGGCTGCCTGGGATTTCTGAAGACCTTGCCAGGTGTCATGGGTGTCACACCATGTCACACACACTCCACAGCCATGTCCATGGAGAGAGTCCTAAGGTTAATCTGGGTTTTATTGGCCTTAGACTGTTCATAGGATCCCTTGACTAACGATTAATTCTATGTGTGTGTGTCTGTGTGCACGTGTGAATGCACATGTGGGTGTGTGTATGCATGTGCATGCATGTGTGTGTGTGTGTGTGTGTGTGTGTGTGCATATGCAGGTATATGCAAGGGTGTGCATGATGAAGTCAGAGGTCAAAACTGGCGACTTCCTTTATTATTCCCTGCCTTACTATTTGAGACAGGTTCTGACTGAACCGGCTCACCCTGCTCCTGAGAGTCTCCTATCTCTTCCTCAGTACTGGGATAACGAGCAGGAGTGCAGGTTCTAGGGACTGAACTCAGGCCCTAAGCTTGCAAGAAAATCCCCCACTGATTCTGCTGTCTCCCTGGCTCAACATTTGACTCTTTCCGCCCAATGTTTTCCTTGAAATAAGTAAGTGAATGGATCTGCAGTTTGCTCTTACGAAGTGCTAGTCTTAGGGTGACGCCCCGAGGTTCACACTGGATGCTGTGTCAGCTGGCCTTACTAGAGTCCTTGTTCTTCCTTGGCATGGCTCCGGGGACTGGTTCATGGATCGGCAGACAGACATTGTACCTGCCCCTCACAGGGGTGAGAGAGAGGAGGGTGTGACTTTTGCTGGAAGGGCTCAACCTTCTTCTCCACCCTTGTGTGCCCTCCAGGGAAAAAGTATGTGTGGGTGGTGGTGAGACCAGGCAATGAGTGGAGGGCCTGGGAGATAATGAGACATCGAAGGCTGCAGTGTCTAAGATTCTAGGGTTGTGGTCTGCATCTGATGCAGAGAGAACAGAGCAGCAGGCTCACTCCAGTCTGAGGACCATTCAGTCTCTGTTACTACTGTCCAGGGGCATCCGTGATGGGACCACAGTTGAAAGGGGAGGAAAAATGTCTGAATGGGCAGGAGGAGAGGTGATGGAAGAGGAGAGGGCAGAGGAGGGGAGGGAAAGGAAGGAGAGGAGAGAGGCGAATACTACATGGAAAAAAGATCGTCCCTTAGAGCTAAGAATGCACAGTAGCTTGTCCAGAAGGTCTAAGGAAAGAGGGAGGTAGGAATCCTGGAGTAACTGACATCTGGTACAGAGATGCTGTGTCTGTCAACACCTTGAACTAGCAACACATAGGCACACTGGGTGTCATTTGTGCAGACCCTGAAAGCAAGATCAGTCCCTAAAGCAAACCAGATCTGAGGCATGCCAAACTTGTGTTCGCCACCCATGCATCTTTTAAAACATCTTCCACAAATGACTCTCCCTGCACTGTGGAGACGGTGCAGTAGGCAAGGTGCTTGCCTCGCAGCCAGGATGAACTGAGTTCAACCTTTAGAATCCCTATTGAAACAAAACAAAACAAAAAAAAGTAAACATGCAAACAAACAGCAAACAAACACAGCCAAGTGTCGTGAATTCTGCTTGCAGACCCTGTGCTGGGGAGGCTGAGGCAGGTGGATCTCTGGAA